ACACCCTTCAAAATGCTGGCTACGGGCATGAGAACAGATCAACTGTTCACTCATCACAAGTTTCCGATTACAATATTGCAGAAGATACATAATTATATACCTCCCCAATAAAAAAAAGGGGGAGACAGTTTGGACACAGATGTACACGCCGGATCGTCATGAATTCGAAATTAGGCTCCTATTGACAAGTAGGACTGTCTAATCAATAAAAAAAATACGCGGACATACCCATGTTCGTCATCTCACCCCGTGCCAGATCTCAGCTTATTCAGTATAACGAATATTGCAAGGCCCAGGGGATAAGGCCATGTTGATTTGATTATATGGATGCCATCCACGCGGTCTGACAGTTTCGTCCGTCTGACAGTTTTCAAAATTTATTCAGTTACTTGAATAACTGTTTTCCAATAATAATGATCTTATTACAATGTACCTGGATATCAAACCCTTATCGACGTAATTAATGTATGTACATATATGCAGAATAGCCTCCGAGATCTACTAAATCTGATGATAATAGTATTTAGATAGGGGTAAAGAAGCCCCGACTGCAGTTCCAGAAGAAGCTGTTAGGGGTCCAAGCAGCGCCATCTAAAATTAGAAGGAAAAAAAAAAACAACCAGCATGTCCAGATCAGCAGATATAAAAACCACTTCAATTCCATAACAAGCCGCAAGGGGGCCAAAACTAGTCTAATTATATTTCAAGATGTCATCAAGACCTGCCCACCTACCTGCCAAACATCAAAACAGTCCATGCATTATTGATCACGAGGAAGTATCGTTACACACACACACACTCACACTCACACTCACAAACGGACGCTACCCTGAAAAAAAAAAAACAAGGCAAAGGTGATGAATAATTTAAAGCGGAGAAAGAGAAGAACAATGTTATTAACTGGAAATGCCAATTTTTTAATAACCTGCCAGGTATATATATAATATGTAAAGCTGAACGTGTGTGACATACTACTAACGTTAGTTTTAAACGTTCATGATGTACGTGTGTGTGTCAAGTAAACTGAGCTCCAAGAGTGTTTGATGATTTAAAAATCTTTTCTTTTTATATTCCTTATCTTTACACATAACATAGTTTTACAACAATATGCCCTATATATACAACGTATGCCAATGCATCATGATAGTGTGTAGAAAGGTGCTGACAGGAATGATGCTGTCATATATATTTAGCATGAGCAACCCGGACACGCTTGTAATTTGCATTTATTTGCATACTCGGGAGCCTTAACAGGACCCCCTTTGACCCGTGACGTCACGCAGACTGCTGGGACGGACCGGCGGCAGGCAGACTACACCAGCTGTTGGTGAGCAAACCTTTTCAAACTCCGCGTATTTCAGGTTATCACATCCGATATACGCTGTAAAATAACCTGAACTAGTTATACCACAGTAATATACGCCAAGCAGACATTCTGCTGCCTTCTTTTCTTGTGTAAATACAATTGTCACCTTGCTATACTGTCAGCGCCTTTTCAAGGTGACATATCTTAATATTTTGTTATAATCTTTCCATCCTTCTACTAAATTGTCATTTTAGCAGTGGTATAAAGGTGTATCGGACACAGCCAGGGCGTGTTTGATGTACGTGTATGCCATGGTTGAACAGACACAGGGAGAAAATGCCGGTCTGTACGTGCTACCTGTGCCCGCCAACATGGCCGCTGCTACTGAAGTGTCCTACTTATCATGACCTTCATGTTTTAACTTGATATTCTTGTTCTGAAGCCGAGAAATATTCCATAAGCCGATGTATAAAATATAAACTAGCACCCTTGGATGTGATTTCTTATAATTTTGCCTGATGTCTCTGTAGCATTATGGCATATCTAGAACAGTTAGAAACTGCAGGGGGGGGGGGTGAGGGGGCGGTGCCGTATTATATATATAAAACTATCTCAGCCTGTCACGTAGACAGCGTGTTTTCATATTCAGTCAGATGTAGGGTAGAATTTCCTAAAGTTTTCTGACAAACCACACACTCAAAACACACTTTTTAAGAAGACTGTTTGCTTAACTACCTTAAGAAGAACATGGTTGTCAATTTTGTGATGGAGGGGGGGGGGAAGGGGGGTACGATTTACGGGGGGGGGGGGGGAAGGTAGATTTTAGAGACATGTCCTGGGGCTCTTTTAGTCAGGTGATAGTTTGATTTGAACCCGAGATTTAAGAAAGCATGTTATAAAACTAAAAGCAGTACCTGGTTTGGGCTAACATTTATTAAGAAATGGTAGTAGTGGTTCTTAGGTAGTATAGTGGTTCTTAAGACCACACTGACTTAATTTTATGGATGACATCCTCTGAAGACCCCCAAACTAGTGCGCACGAGGGAATAATAAAAATTAAAAAAACTCAAGCCAACTTTTATAAGCCTGGTATTGTGAATTTTGCGGTATTGCATAGCGACTTTTACAACAAGCCGGCACATACTGGCCTTTGTGGAGCTTTGGCAGCCTGTTCTGTGGAGCTTCGGCAGCCTGGGTACCATCCTCTGTAGTTACCGCCGGCTCCCTATTGTCGCTAGCTATCATGGACTACGGAGGATGTCACCCAGGCCAGAGCCTCGGAGGAGGTGATTTTTTCTTAGAACAGGCAAAAATCAATGCGCACAGATGTTATCCATAAAATTAAATCAGTGTGGCTTAACTATAGACAATCATGATATTACAGGTTGCTAACACTCTTCTTCCTTTTTACACTCACTGTCATTTCTCTGTCAACCTTCAGAAAGACATTTGCCTGGCACTACTAAGTCCATCGTTGGTTTGCGTCACATCTTTTTCTCATATTGACAGGTATGACATCTATTCCCAGGAAGAGACACAGGACCGGTGACTCAGGTATCTGACTGAAAATTTTGTCTTCGCAGACGACTGTCGTAGTTTAGAAGCTCGTGTATTGACTCTTTGTCTTTTCTCTTCTCCTGTTCTGTCATATATGTGGCTGTCAGCATCCTTTCATTTCAGAGGTTCACCATGGGGTTTTCGTGGCAAGTCTGTAGACTGATAATGCTTGTCCAACTGCTTAGGTCAGTTAAAAATCAGCAATCATAAGAATCTACCAAAAACCAAAAATTAACAGTGTGTCTTTTGATATACATGATGTATGATTTGTCAGTAAAGATATTAGCAGTACTAAGTACTAGTAAAAGAATATTTTTGAACTCATTTAGTATCAAACATTCAAAGCACACAAAATATCATCTGCATTTTCTTCATGAATACTATAACGTTAACAGCCAGGTAAAAATGCAGATAAATTGGAGCAGTGAATAAATTAATATTTCTGGTGTCTTCTTGCACTTAACCCATAATAGTATTTAATACCACTCTACTCTGAAATGGAGTTAATCCTTTTACTCTTGGCTTCCATGCAAGAATGGACTCTTCCAAAACACCCCCATGTAGAATGGTTTCCTCCAAGTCACCCTACCCAATCTTTAGAGCAAATGCTACCACATACCATATTACCATTAGTTCCAGCCTTCCAGGTCATTCATATGCATTCATTTAACTGATGCAAGAACACAAAAAACATATTAATTTCAAATTGTAAAATCAGTAAGTGTATGTATAACTGATAAGGGACTGCCATAAAGTAAGATTCATAGACAAATGAATAAAATTAAATCAGTCATACCCATTATAGAAACAATGGTCAATGGTTTGACCACTGATTTCACTTGCCCCAGAAAGTTGGACGATTGTTACTGTGGGTACCGGTGCCTTTGTGCTTAATAGAAAGTCACTATCATGCTTCTCGAAATTAATGTTTATGTCTCTACCCATTCCATACATGTAGTACTGTAGCTTTACATCACAAGTCATTCTTCCTCTTGTGTCTGTAACAGTGTAAATGTGACTGTGACTGAATTGTCTTGTCAGCATTCCCTTTCAGATTCCTGTGGAAATCACAACTAGACTAGAGAAGCATCATTGAAGCTTTCTGGAAGTCCTGCTTCAATCTTATCTTCTCACTTTCTGTTATCTGCTGAAATGGGAGTTTACGTTATTAAACTTACTAGTACACAATCATGTACATATCTTATAGTGTGAACTAAAATTCAACAAATTAGATAATTGCAATCATAAATGACACAAAGTATATATTCATTTGCAAGTTACTGTAGCTAGAAAATCTCTGTTCTTGCCAGCCTGAATTTTTTTTTTACGTAACATACATGTACATGTATTGGAACCATCCAGGGGCACAATGGAATTTTGAAGTTTTGACCCTTTGAAACAGGCTGTTTCCTGCATTTTTAGGAGCAAATTTTGCAACTAGACTAAGCTTATTAATTAGTTTAATTTCTAAATTCCATATCTTTACACACCAATTTTTGTCCATAAAAGATGATGTATTGGGCACAATTTTCGTCTGTAAAATGAGGGGTAAAATTCTGTCAAATGGCAGAAAAATTTATGCTCAGCTAGACCACTGTTGTGACATCTTGATCAGGGCTCGAAATACTGATTGCACGTGCAATTTGGTGCACCCAATTTCTTTTCTGTGGGTACACCAGTGCACCAAAATATTTTTGTAGGCTTATGTATGTAATTAAAAAGATATCAAATGTATATACTACAAAAAAGATCTAAAAACAAATTAAAATCTTTATTATTTAAGATTATTCTAAAGGTGCACCCGAAAATTGGGTGCCCCAGTGCACCTTTTTCCCAAAATAAATTTTGAGCCCTGGACATGATCCATGTGGGGGGATGGTGGTGTTTAATACCTCCACAGACATGGCCCCACCCGCAGCCATGAAGCGTACCAGGAACATCTCCGTGGGCAGTGAGTACTTCGTCCAGGACCAGCAGCTTCATGCTGCCAACGCCACCACGACCCTGGAGCACATGTGTCTCCTGGACATAGACTCTCCACCTTCCATGGTGCGCCACTCTGGAATAATCTGTACACTTGGTATGTGCAGTAAGGTTTGGAGTGACGCTGACACCCCGCCTGTACTAACACCCTACTCACAAGTGTATAGGAGAGTGGATTCAGTCCTCAAGCTAACTGACATCTAGCACACAGCTGTCGTCCCTCAGTAAGACATCTGGAGCCACTTAGTTTCGGTTTAGAACTTTTATTACCTTTGCCAAGAAAGTTATGTTTCCCGTCGCATTTGCGTGTAAGTATATATGGTTTAGCACAATACAAGAAGCATTGGGTGGACTGTCATGGAACTTGTTAATGAGTAGATTTCTTGGCCCCCTGTTGGCTTATTATGGTACTGCATTATTTCCAGTTTTTATATCTCACTATCTGGACATGCTAGGGTCACGAGTTTCAACTGGTAACATATCCCTTGCCCAGGAAAAAGTGACATTAGTTTGGACCCCCTAGCAGCTTGTTCTGGAACTGCAGGAGCATTTCTTGAAAAATCTTAAAGGATAACTCAAGAACAGGTTTTTATTCAGTCTCTCATGCCCAATTTCTCTCTGTGGACTACTGTAATCTTCAAGTCTATAGAGACTGGTAGGCTGAAGAAAAGTTCTAAGGCCACACCAATATAATTTCTTGGTTAACAGATTTTTCTGGAAAAATAATGGAGCGGGCGGGCAAAAAAATAAAGAAATAAAAAAAAACGCCTAAGCATCCTATTAGGGCCCAAAATGGTACAATAGGAGCCATGAAGTCAACACACCAGGCTGGTTCAAAATGTAGACAATGAATTTTGAACTTTTAATGATACCACTGCATTGAAAGATGGAATAACTGTAACAACTAGGAATAAAAGGACTGTTTCCATCTGTTCAGGGCGAAATATGAGCATTTTGCAGTTGATTCTGAATTCTTATTATTTTTTTTGCAAATCAGAAAAAAATGATGCGGGCAAATTCGTTAACCAAGAAATTACCTTGGTGTGGCCTAAACGGGAACTATGTAGCTCCAGATGTCTTACTAAGTGATGACTGCGGTGTGCTAGATGTCATTACTAGTAGCTGAGGAATGAATCCACTCTCCTATATACCTACTGACCAGTGTGTTTGCTGCTGTTAACCCTGTGTTGCCTGATGGTTGGACTGTGGTGTTGTTTCAGGCATGGCTCCCCCTGTTAAGGCCCGTACTCGTGCTATGTCCTCGGGCAGTACTGGGGATGAGTATTTTATACAGGACCAGCAGCTTCATGCTGCTAATGCTACTACAACAGTGGAGCATATGTGTCTGTTGGACATAGATTCCAACCCATCCATGGTACGCAACTCTGGCATCATATGTACTATAGGTGAGTCAAGTATATGTATTCGCTATTCATGCAACCAATTGCCAACCCCCTTCCTCCCCCAAACAACACAGTTCATCTGTGTTCAACTTGGTAGAAATCGTTATGAAGCAAGTTTAAACTGTAGTTTCCAACGCAAGAAATTGGACTTAACCCAAATTTTCGACTGTACAACTCCAGTCTTTGTCGAGGAATGAGCAATCCACTGTGTCTGTGATAGAGCTCACGGAGTCATGTGTGTTATCTGCGTGACGTCACGGAAGCGGTAGATTGCTCATTCCTTGACAAAGACTGGAGTTGTACAGTCAAAAATTTGGGTGAGTCCAATTTGTTGTGTTGGAAATTACACTTTAAACTAAATGCTTCATAACACAGAAATTTAACTTGCCAAGGCAGAGGGCAGTTTGATGTATTTCATTTTCAGCATTGACATCTTACTGAGGATTTTCTACATTTTCACTGAAACGTTTCCAACCCAACAGGTAAGGTAATTTAAACAGAAGAAAATTTTAAGAATGACTGTCATTGTATACTAATACCTACATCTAGTCATTCAGTAACACAGTCCATGGAATCATGATAGTTTTTTTACTAGTACAAATTTCATTATTGTGAAAAAGAAATTTAATTTTAATTATAAACCATGTCTCAGTCTGTACCTATTAGCTATAAGAATTATGCATTGGGAGCCTTTATACTTATATAGTCAATGACTTTGATTATTGGAATTAGAAGACAAATTAGAACTCAAATTTAGACATTTTTCTCACTAGTTACGAAAAAAGCCTGTCATAAATATGAAAACATTATATGATATACAATTTTGTACTGTAACTAACTGGAGTCTAGGTTTCGAAAGGCCCAAGTCAAGCCTACATGTACATGTAATATTACAGGTAAGAGTTTTGATTTGAAATTTTGTTCTTGGCTTTGTCTAACCTTAGTTACTGTTGGGGTGTCTTGTGTGTTCCTGTTTCTTGACATACATGTAGCTATGAATTTGTGTCTGCTTTTTATGCTGAATATAGGTAGTGTGAACTATTAGCATGCAATGTGTCATGTGAGTGCAATGCAGACTTCCCAGTGTGCACCATACATATTTCCCAGTGTGCACCATGCACATTTCCCAATATGCACCATGCAGATTTCCCAGTATGCACCATGCAGCCTTCCCAGTGTGCACCATGCACATTTCCCAGTGTGCACCATGCACATTTCCCAGTGTGCACCATGCACATTTCCCAGTGTGCACCAAAAATGCAGATTTCCCAGTGTGCACCATGCAGATTTCCCAGTGTGCACCATGCAGATTTCCCAGGGTGCACCATGCACATTTCCCAGTGTGCACCATGCAGATTTCCCAATGTGCACCATGCAGACTTCCCAGTGTGCACCATGTATATTTCTCAGTGTGCACCATGCATATATCCCAGTGTGCACCATGCAGATTTCCCAGTGTGCACCATGCAGATATCCCAGTGTGCACCATGCAGATATCCCAGTGTGCACCATGCAGATTTCCCAGTGTGCACCATGCAGATTTCCCAGGGTGCACCATGCACATTTCCCATGCAGTGTGCACCATGCAGATTTCCTAGTGTGCACCATGCAGACTTCCCAGTGTGCACCATGTAGATTTCCCAGTGTGCACCATGCAGATATCCCAGTGTGCACCATGCAGATTTCCCAGTGTGCACCATGCAGATTTCCCAGGGTGCACCATGCACATTTCCCAGTGTGCACCATGCAGATTTCCCAGTGTGCACCATGCAGACTTCCCAGTGTGCACCATGTAGATTTTCCAGTGTGCACCATGCATATATCCCAGTGTGCACCATGCAGATTTCCCAGTGTGCACCATGCAGATATCCCAGTGTGCACCATGCAGATATCCCAGTGTGCACCATGCAGATTTCCCAGTGTGCACCATGCAGATATCCCAGGGTGCACCATGCAGATATCCCAGGGTGCACCATGCAGACTTGCCATGTTTTTTCTGTCTTCACACAGGCCCAGCTTCCAAAGAAGTGCCGACCCTTGTGGAGATGATGAAGGCTGGCATGAACATTGCCCGACTCAACTTTTCCCATGGATCCCATGAGGTAATTAATAAAGGGTTAATGACCCGCCCTGATCGAGGTGTATATGGTGTCATAATTCATGGTCGGTTCCTATAACCACCGAATAAACGACCGAGTCCGCAAAGCAGGACACAGTGCGGGACACAGTTTATTTTAGAAGCTGTACATCTAAATCTTTAGTAAGTCTCATTCAGAAACTATAACTTATGCTACAAGATGACAGTTAAATAGTCCTGCTTCACTCCATGTTATGATACTGATAAATTCTGATGTTACAGTACCATGCAGGCACCATCGCCAATGTTCGTGAGGCAGAGAAACTGCTGAAGCCTTTCCGTCCCATCGCTATCGCACTGGACACCAAAGGCCCTGAGATCCGCACTGGACTTATCGCAGGAGTGAGTTCATCTGTGTTCTGTATACTGCTAGTGCTAATGCTCTACTTCTATGTCATAAATCTAATTATGTTTACCGAAGGGATACATTGTTTTTACTACGTTTCTTCTTCTTGTGCTCCAAACACTAACCCCTGACCTGGCCAATGGCCTGATTTGTTGACGTCTGTCACCATGGTAACTGGTGTTGGGTGACATTATGATAATGTTGCAATTTTATAGGAGGGATGTAGACTCCTGTCACCATATATGTGAATGTACATACTAAGAAAACCATATGCCAACTTGAAGGTAAACATTATGCATTTGCTTTGCAAATGTTACCTTTCAAGTTCATTTGCATTAAGCTTTGATTAGTTTTTAATATGGTTGGGAATCATAATTGTAGCAACTTTCTACCGATACTTTGAGCAAGCATGATTTCCTTTCAAACATAAAGTGCCATAACATACATGTATGTAAGGTAATTACAAAAGTCAAGTTTGGCTGTTCAAAAGTATAGAAACCAGGCGTTTTCAAAAAAATGTGTAATATCGACCAGACTGGGTTTGTCCATTTTGTTTCGAGCTAATTGAAGAAGAATACTATAATAATCTCTTTTTGATTTATATATACATCCCAAATATTTTGATATAATAAATTGTCTGTGTAATTCCAAATACTCTGGACTACCAGCTTCTATACCAGGATTTATCTAGTAAATGGACTTGAATAGCATATGACATATGACATCCCCTGCATGGCATATACATAGTATTACTTAGTCTATTACTATTAGGAAGATATATTAGAGAATGTCTACAAGTAGACTTAAGAGAAATTTCTCCAAATTGAATACACACTAAGGTACGTATGTAAGTTTAGCAGTATGGAACTGTAGCAGCTATGTATGTACAGTGTATAACAAGTCATGTACAGGGCTCGAAATTCATTTTTGGGAATACTGGTGCACCCAACCTAAAAAATTTGGTGCACAAAATTTTCTGTGGGTGCACCCTACAAGATAAAATAAGTAGAATGTCAACAGAAACTAATTATGTTTTTTGTTTCTAAAGAAAACTACAACTCAGAATAATATATAATTTTTCTGATTTTTCTGACAATTTGATGTTAAGAATATGCTGAATACTAGACTAAGTACTACTCTAACTAGACTACATTTAACATCTTGACATATACATAAACCTACTGCATTGGTGCTCCCACAGAAAAAAATTGGGTGCACGGCTCCAAATTTGGGTGCACTAAGGTGCACATGCACCCAGTATTTCCAGCCCTGCATGTACCAGTAGATGTAATATGTATGTTGTATAATAAAGTTGCTGACTATGTTCCTGTAGAGTGGTACTGGGGAGGTGGAGCTTCAGACAGGCCATGAGATCAAACTCACCACCAACAGTGATTACTACGAGAAGTGTGATGACAAGACTCTGTACGTGGACTACAAGAACATTGTCAAGGTCATGGAGAAGGGCGGGCAGGTCTACATCGACGATGGGCTCATCCAGGTCACAGTCAAGGACAAGGGTGAGGCATTCATACGCACATTCCCACTTTAACATTCATCCAGGTCATAGTTAAGGACAAGGGTGAGGCATTTCTACTTTTACACTAAACCATCATACATGTACTGTAACAGCATGCAAAATACCTGGTTGCCCAGTTGCCCCGGGCAACCAAATTTCACTTGGGGCAACCTATTTTTGAACCTAGGTAGCTCAGTGTGCTTTGTACCTGAATTTTAAGAAAGCCCCCCCCCCCCGAATCATGGCCACTTGGCTTGCACCACTGTATCCAGCAGATGCTTTTTAATTTTAGGTATTAATGGCTATTACATGACTAGTATCAGTTAACTAAAGGCTGTTAGAAATATTGTCAAAGGCTTATGTATATATGTAACATTTCTTAATTTGAGGAAAGTAGTAACTTATAGGTGGGGCAACCTAAAATTCTGATTGGCAAGTTGAACCTAATTTTTGCCGTAGGTTGCCCACTGGGCAACCTGGTTCAGAAAAGTATTTTTTACACTGCCTGTATGTGCCTCCCACTCATGATGTAATCCATACGTGTACAATGTATACTGACACTGCAGGTTTTCAATCATGGGCCAGTACAGGTAGATATCAGTACAGGTAGATATCAGTTAAATAAATGGTCTTTATTGGCCAAACAGTACCCGTGTAGTCGAAATACAAATAATCAATACAAATCACAACCGTTTACAATCAAATAATGATAACACATAGTTGTTCCACAAATTTTTTGTGGAACCGTTGCAAGGGTCTGTGCGGCTGCCATACGACTTTCCCCAACAGAAGTTAGGTACCCATTCACACCTGGGTGGAGTGAGGAAGATCAATGCAAAGTTAGTCCTATTTTGCATAATATGCAATTCACTGTGTACATCCTTGTCTATCTTGTACCTACATGAAAAAAATGAAACTGCCAGGCATCCCAGTTCTAGTTATTCTTTTAGATCCAGAACAAGCTGCTCAGGGAGCCAAAACATACACAAATATTTCCTGATATAAAAAGCTATCTGCCACCAAAAATCTAACGATTTCCAAGACCTACCCACATACCAAATATCACAATCCATCCAGACCATTCTACATGTACAAAACATGACATTGTACAATGATCATATAGTTACTGCCAAAATATGAAGAAACACAAAGTACACATACACAGACATACAGACAAATGTGCTACACACAGACAAATACATCAAAACAACACTTCCATGTTCACAAGAAATAACCCAGAAAAGCTTTCATCATCTCAGACAATGTTTTATTTCTGCATTTAGTAGATCAGACCTACACTCAGTCTGATTGAAATTATTTGAATTGTGTCCTCTTTCAAAGACATAATTTTGGTAGGATATTCCTTCACATACAAGAAGGGGCCCTGGCCTAGAGGCTTCATATTTTGTTTTGCTGTCAAAATGTAACTGAAGTGAATCAGCCTGTAGCAGGTTTGGGAGGGCTTCTCTTGCGCTGAATCAACATAACCGCCTTCTTCAGGTTCTGGTTTTGACGCCAGTCTCTCCAGTAGATACCCCTGGAGTCAAACTGTGCTCCCTTCGGGTGGTAGATGCCTGAATAAGACAATAAATAATTGTTAGAATGTTAATGTCTTCTACAACGTTTAACTTCTGATCTATTCAGACTGCTCTGTTTATTCTTACTCAAACATCCATATGCAGGCTCTCAAACCCTAGCCTGGTATCCAGCTTTAGTCCGCTACCCAAGATCCGCTCCCCGCCTCTTGGGTGGCGGACTAAAGCTAACAAGGCTGGATACCAGGCTACTCAAACCCTGTCCTTCCACTTGCTACATAATGTAATCCAATAACACAGGATGTCTGCTACAGCACCAGTTACCATGGTGACAGACATCTGGTTTAGGTCATTAACCTTTGTTTGGAGAAGATGAAGAAGAAGAAGCAAAAATGATAAATAATAAGTTTTCCTTCTGTGAAGGTTGCAACAGGAAAAAATTCTCACTTCTTATAATGGGCAAAAATTAATAATTATGTTGTAATGTGGGAAAGCAGATTGATGTTTTGAATACTTTAACCTACAAAATCATCTATTAGTTAGAATATTTTTTCCCTAAAATGTTGCAAAAGATTTTGTTCCATCACTTTTAGTCTTACATGTACTTTGTGTTTCATCACCTTTAATTTTATAATTTTTGCTTTGTGACTTGACTTATACAAAGTCATACAGAGGGCTACATGTATCTGTATTCACAATCACGATACGTTAGATTACATTGTACATAATTGTTTTATTTCCAATATTGATGGAGAGTTTTGAAAGAGTTGTTTTGTTACCATTGAGGTTGGAAGGATGTGGACAGTACTTGTTGAACCACCAGCCACTCTGGTACTGCTTCCCACACTCCACTGTCTTGTCACCATCATTGTCCTTGTCATTTGCACTGAAGCCAACACCATTCAGATCCTGTGTGGATGTAGCAAAAAACATTGACATCAGAGTTAGGCCATGGAAAAAACTATCTTGTGCTTCCTGTTTCCTGAAAAAAATTAAGGTCAGTAGGTATATAATGCATATTGTTTACCTTCGGCTTCGCACATGGAAGGAAACTGAGCAAAAACAAATTGAATATGTTTTCCTTCTGTAAACATAATAACGCAATTTCAGATGATTGCATTAGTCGGAATCCAGAATGGTCATATCAGAAGCAATACAATATATAATGTACTCACAGTCAAACTGTCTCCTGCAGTACTCAGGACATCATAGTCACTAATGGTCAGCTTGAAGTCGGCACCGGACACCTTGAACTTTTTGTATCTGGCAAAAGCCTCCTTACCATCATGGTCAGTCAGGGAGACATACAGCTGCCATTCATCCTATGTCACAAAAAACATTCAAGGTTTAAGGCCATGGATGACAACCTCTGAAAACTTCCAAACTACATGTAGTGAGTGCAGGTGAATGAAAAAATTCAAAAAAATTCCTAGCTTTACACAAAGGATGGATGGAAGCGGATGGATGGATGGATGCAGATGGATGGATGGATGTGGATGGATGCGGATGGATGCGGATGGATGGATGGATGTGGATGGATGGGTGGATGTGGATGGATGGATGGATGCGGATGGATGGGTGGATGTGGATGGATGGATGGATGCGGATGGATGGGTGGATGGATGGATGTGGCTGGATGCGGATGGATGGATGGATGCGGATGGATGGATGGATGTGGATGGATGCGGATGGATGGATGTGGATGGATGGATGGATTGATGGATGCGGATGGATGTGGATGGATGGAGGATGGATGGATGGATAGATGGGTGGATTGATGCGGATGGATGCGGATGGATGCGGATGGATGGATGCGGATGGATGGTGTGGATGGATGGATGGATGCGGATGGATGGACGGATGTGGATGGATGGATGGATGGATGGATGGATGGATGGATGGATGGATGGATGCGGATGGATGGATGTGGATGGATGGATGGATGGATGTGGATGGATGGATGGCTGCATAAGGCCACACCAACTTGATTTCTTGGCTCATTTAATATAATTGGAAAAAAGTCCATCATGCCATACATTTCTTGATGTATTTTCTTTTTTGTATTTTCTCTGTGCCCTCTTGCCTCATTAGCTTCCTGCAAACAGCTGAGAACCAAGAAAGTCCATTGGTGTGGCCTTAAGAAGCCAGGTTACCTGTGCCGTTAGCTTTTGCAGGTTCTGCAGTCCAATCCAGTAGTCCTGACTTGGTGTTCCAAAACCTTTCACATAGTCAGCAAACTTTTGGTTGAAGTCCTGGCTGGCACCTGATGTTTTAAAACAGCTTCATCAGCCTATGTCATGTACATTGTATAAGGCATTATACATCATGTCCTAAGCCATACTACAGTACAACAACAACAAATAGGAATGAGTAGAAACAGGAAAACCCCTGACTCCTGGGATGCTTGGAATCAAACCCATGCCAAACCCGGGCAGCAAGCTTTCAACACCAGCACCCTAACTACTGTAAAATGGACCCATCAGACGAGTCAGTTGCTAGTGCATCCACTGCAAAATGCTCAATATTTTGCACTGAACAGTTGAAAACAGCACTTTTCTTCCTCGTTGTTACAGTTATTCCATCTTTCAATGCAATGGTATCATTAAAAGTTCAAAATTCATTGTTTAAATTTTGAACCAGCCTGGTGTGTTGACTCCTATTGTACCATTTTGGGCCATAATAGGATGCCTAGGCCTGTTTATATATATATTTTTTTTTCACCTGCCCGCATTATTTTTCTAGAAAAATTCGTTGACCAAGAAATTAAATATGTGTGGCCGCAGGTCTATATTGTTAGTACATTGTACATTTTTTTGTACACTGTAGATTACAAGAAAAGTCGTTACCTTCCCTCCTGAGTATAACAGCCCACCCCCTGGGTTCCTGTCCGATGTCCATGTTACACCACACCTGCATGCCGGCTGGCTGTCCAGCAGGCTTGATGGTGGCCAGGCCTGTTCTCTTTGTCTTGTCTTTTACCTTCAGCCCAGCACAGTCTGCAGGAAGACACAACATGGTGTGTCAGGGTTGGTGGAAAACAACGTCCAGTGCAATCGGCGAAAAACCAACACCGGTCTGATTTTACTTGCTTGCACTATCTCGAAGGTGGCACTACTGCACGCTGAAATGGCCAGACTGCTTCTCCCACCCCAAAATCGGACTGGACTTTGTTTTCCGCTAATCGAACTGGAAGTTGTTTTCCACCAACCCACACTACCCTTGTGTGCCATGTCCATGATTGTTCAACATTTGCAATAACAGACCTGACCAAAACTGACCAACATGAAGTCTTGGACTCTAATTATTTAGTTTACATTATCATATAGCCAGGTGACGTTGACCAATCAGAAGGCTCCATTCCACATTCCTTATGACGCAGTAATGTCACAAATAGAGTCAAAACCTGGTATTTATTCATCCCAATCCATACATTAAAAAAACCCAATAATCACCCGCATATGACCTCAGGTGACCAAATAGAACACGGCTCTAGTTCTAAAAAGTCCAAAAATAACTTGAGTTGTGTTCCAATGACTTCCATAAGAACACCTGTTCCCTGCCTGTGACCCAGTTAACGTGAACTCTACCCAGTGACCTCAGGTGACTCCAGTTGGAACTATGTTCTATTCAGCATGTGCAATGGGTAAATTGTACATTGTGTGCATCAGTTTGGATAGGCTATCGTGTAAGCCACATAAAGCCACCTCGTTCGCTGTCGCTCACTTGGTGGCTTTATTCGGTGGTTATAGCAACTGACAAGGCTTTATCACACCATATTCACCTCGGGGCGGGACAAGAAACATTCCTCCAAGATTTTGTATGTTGATTCTTACACAAAGAATTGTATAATAAAAAAAATTATATTTTTCTTATCATAAGAAAAGAAAATATTTTTACTATCATGCTCATCAACAAGAATCTTAAGAACTTTTAGAATTTTAAGAAAGTTAACAATATTTTTTTCTGCTACAAGAAATCTTTTCCTGTGGACAGGATCGTTTTCTTGCTTCAAGAACAGTTAGCTCTTAGTTATTTTCTTGTGGACAGAATCATTTTCTTGCTTCAGGGATTCTTTAATTTCTTGTTCAAAGAATAAATTTCTTGCTACAAGATACATTTCCTTTGTACAGGGAAAAACAAGAAAAAACATTTTTGGTAGTGTAGATAGGCACAGTTCTGGATAAGACTGTCCCAGTCCCTTATATCTGAGCATCTACTGTAACAGAAGGAAGTTCTCACCCTTCTCATCCCCAGGATCAGCAGGTTTAGCTGGTTTTGCAGCAGCTGCGCCACCTCCAGGTTTAGCTGCACCAGCTGCACCCGCACCTGGAGTACCAGCTGCAGGACTGCCAGGTTTAGGCTTGGCAGCTGCAGCAGCCGCCGCAGCAGCAGCTGCAGCTGAAGCAGCTGCGGCACCTGCCTTGTTCAGCTTGTCCATATCATCCATCATCTTCTGAACCTTGCCACTTATGTCTGCAAGTTTCTTCTCGACTTGAACCCTTTTGTTGACTGCAGCTTCCAGTTTCTTCATAGCAGGGGCAATCTCCGTAACCATTTTTTTGTTCTAAAAGAATATAATTTAGATTTTATGCTGAATTACAACTTGTCGGGATTGCTATGCACTGCTAGTATCATCCAGTGATTCCTCTATAGTTCTGTTGCAATTTTTCTTCATTTGAATAGTTACGCGCCAGTTGCAAGTCCAATAATTGACATCTTTAAGCAGCAAGACATCTATTAGATGTAATACATTTACGTCAGATTTAAATATACACCTAGGCCACACCAATTTAATTTCTTGGTTAACGGACTTTTCTAGAAAAATAATGGAGTGGGTGGGTGGGCGAACAAAATCAATAAAAACTAGAAAGGCCAACATTTGCTTCGGAGCAAATGTAATATGTCACTCCATCTCCCTCCCCATACAAAAATAGAAGATTCTGAATAAATCATACTGCAATTATACAAGGACAAGCTTTTTGAATCTCGACAGATATTTACAAAAATGGCACTTGGCCATTATCTCCCTTTTTTTTTACAAAGATACAACGACAAGCACTTTAAATCTCGACAGCTTTACTTTACACCTTACTTTATCTCAATTTCAAAGTTATATATTGCAGGTATCTAAATACTACTAATGACGAAATTGCAACTACTACTAACGGTAGCAAAATTTTCACGGTCTGAGAAACATGGACATGTTCACGGAACTATATATTCACGGTGGTGACAGTTGCAGGAAAAAGAAAGTCCAGGAATTATTTCCTAACTGTAAAGATAAGTTCACGGTACAGAGGTGACAGTGAAAACCGTGAACATTGACCTCCCGCTTGCATTACGTTGCGGTACAGTGAAAAAAAAAATCGGGAATTACAGTAATCAATTTACAGAGTATGTTTGCTTAGTTTCCAGATGTTTTGTATGATTGTCGTAAACTTAGTTTTAAATTAACGAAAACCGATGCGCGCACAGATGCCATCCATATAATCAAATCAACATGGCCTTATTAACAATCACATAAACTATGAAGCCATACATTGAATAAGCTATACATATAATATGATTATCATAACCTTTATTTTTAAAATCATGCCAGTGAGCTAATTGCATGTACAGAGTGAAAGAAAGTAAAGTAAAGTAAAGCAGTTAGAATTTCTGTACTAAGCTATGATAGTACTCCATATGATTCGTCCTCATCGTCATCATTCAATGTGGTCTATCTCTTGCTACTAGTGACTGGTAATACCTCTGTAGATTCTTCACACTGGCAGAGTACCGTACTCCTTCTCTCTTGTCAGCTCCATACTTTTGTGACAACATCAAAGCGATTTTGGTTTGTATGTTGGAAAAATACAAAAGACTAACATTCTAAGTTATTGACATTCTTGAGTAAGAAGTACTAAGAACAATCAGTTTTTGAATGTTAAAAGCAAAACAACGAAAATCAAAAAAAAAAATGTTGAAATTGTTAAAATGCAGGATTGTTAAAATTGTTAAAACTGATAAAATTGTTAAAACTGATAAAATTGTTAAAAATGATAAAATTGTTAAAAAAACAGTTAATAACCGATGCACTGGGGTTCGAACGCACAATTTCTGGGATTGCCGCCTGGCGCGTTACCAACCGAGCTAACTCGGTGCGATACACATCACTCACTGCATTGTATGTCATATAAAGTAAACAGCATGGCGGTATCGATCGCCTCAAGCCACCAAGACTTTCAACTATTAACTACGGGGTTTCCTTCTTTATCAGGTTTGCTTTTGAACCACCTTGATGTTACTTAATTATCAACCCGGCTAGCAGAAGCCGCCGGCTCCTTTGATATTACAGCCGCTCCCTGTCCAATCTTCGAAAACTGTCGGGCATGCAAGCCCTCGACGCTCGCCAGGAAACCGTCTCGCGATGTTCTCAGCAACAACAAACGAACGCCTGTGCACTCTACAATTTTGGTGATTCTTCGGAGATCGATAACAGAACCTAGATAATACTAGTTGGTAAAGATTGCGGAAAATTGTTGATACCGTGACGCCCGAGTAACTTTTTTGTTTACACGCCGGGTGCAGGTCATTGACCTCCAACTTGCGTTGTTCCAACAGAGAAGAGCAAAATGTCTGGCTCCCGCAGAACGTACCGCACTCTCCCGCTGGACGTACCGCACTCTCCCGCAGAACGTATCGCACTCTCCCGGAGGACGTCCCGCACTCTCCCGAGGGAAGTCCCGCACAGCGTCCTGCACTCTCCCGCAGAACGTCC